ACAATACTAGACATTAACTTTTACAAATCTAGACTGAACTAAACGATGAATTGAAATCCATGTGTAGATGTCAAGGTTTATTTTGTTTCTCAGAATATATCTGATTTACTAGTCATTGGATTAGGATTATTTATAATCAGGAAGAGAACAATGCAGTATTAGAACAGTTCTAAGTAGTTTCATTAATTTCTTGTGCCAGAACAAAAAGTGTGATAGAAATGTAAAAAGTTAAGACAGATGATACACATTGGTATCAGATATATCATTAACATGAGATTGCCAGTGGATGTCCTCAGTTTCTCAGTCCAAGAGGATACTAGCCTGATGTGGAGCCACTTATTGTTAGCTAAACAGATTGCCACTATAATGAATATGGCATTCAGGTATGTAGATGGATGACTATATCTAAAATCTGGGCTAAAAAAGGAAGTTGTCTAACACAAGTTTCAATATCTTCCAAGACCCAAACTACTGACACAGAGCACTCATGCAATATTAGCTACCACTACTAGCTTATTTCAACAGGAAAGGAAACTAGATAGCAGTAACTAAATGATACTGGACAGTTAGGAAAGTCAGCATGACTTTGCTTTTCTTTTCACCTAAGAAAAAACAATAACTTTGACTGTGGAATTATGCAGTGTGCAGAGTATGGGCCACAGTTGTGCTTTTGATGAAGATGACTGCTAGTGGGAGGACTTCTAGGATACAGTTAACAATGATTGTCAGCAAATTTAGTGACAGTCTATTGCAGAAATGAAAGAAATGAATGGACAAGGAGAAGACAATAATAAATTGAATGTAGGTATGTAGTGCAATTTAAACTGATTAATCTCACAGAATCCATTAAATATATACTTGCATATATTAGTAATATTTTTTTTCCATATAGAATACTTGTACCTTCCACTACATTTTTATATTCAGAATATTGGTACAGTTTTAGCAGACCTGCTTTATTAGTCTATATGCAGTGATAACTATTGTGCTTATTCATACAAACTTTCTTGTAGATTTTTGATAGGTATGAGTATATAAATACTTCTTAAATTTTCAGGTAGTGCTACTGCAATTGCATTGTAGTTTGCAAGACATGTGTCTAAAATGTATTGTAAAATCCAAAATCTAGAATATGAACATATAAATTGTGATATCTCTTGATTTGTGATCCTGTATTTCATATTTGTTTTTTTTGTGGGTTTATTTATTTAAGATTTAATGTTCATATGTCAAACAAATTGTTATGAATTTATGAATTAATGCACATAACTTTTTGTGTATACTTATGACCTTATTTGTAAGCTTAAAACCTTGTGTAAAGTGTGACAGTTGTTATTTGAAGTTTATACCATACATCATTAATTTTTGGCATTTTGGGAAAGAATATCCATAAAGAGGTTCCTGAAAAAAAAAAAAATGTACCAAGTGATCAATAGACAGACACATTGTCGTGATGAAGACTCCGTCCATATAAGCACTAGATGCAGCGATAAAGAAATGTTATTCTTTAAAAATGTTTTATTTTCCCATATAATTGAAAGAAAACAATTACCTGTTTTTATAAGCTTATAAGACACCAGATTTCTAATTGTTTCTGCTAATGCTGTTGGTTTCTCTGTTTTCTTTGAGTTCTAGAAAATCTTTCCATGGTCAAAGAAAACAATTTGCAAATGTGTGAAGGGAAAGATGGAGAACCACAAGATTTAGTGCTTAAATCTTGAATGAATTTACTCACTGGCTGAATTATAGATGCATGGAAAATGAGAAAAAATAACAGCATATTAGGAAAAGAAGAAAAATTAATAGTATAAGAATGGAAAATAGAGAAAAGGAATTTATGGACAAAATAGTGAGGAGTGACAGGCAAGAAATAGAAACAATAAAATCTTTAAGAAAAGAGCAAGAGCAAATGCAATAAAAAGTGTCATACATGTTGACATATCTTGCTCAAAAAAGTTTAGATGGAAGATAATTGCAGAAGGGAGCAAAATGAGTCATGTAAAAAGAAAAAAACTGACAAAAAAAAAATGAGTAAATGTTTTCAAAATGAATCAGTCTAACTAATCACACAAACATTAATAGACGAACAACAAAGTAAAGAGAAGTAGAACTGAAATGGAACATAACTTACAAGTTGTAATCAAGTTGAGCCAGAAGACATAAGTACGAAAAGTGAAAAAAGATAGAAGGGTGGAAGCCAAAGTGTTAGTGGAGAAGCTGACAAAAAGAAAACACATTAGCCGACCTTGTGATATAAACATCATCGACTGTGCCTCATTAAGCGAGTTTGAGGTCCAATAATCCGTGTTCTCTTGCAACCGGTGGCCCAATATCCGGTCATTAAGGAGCTACTTGAATATAACCATAATCAAGGTACCATAATTCGTTAATTCACCGTCTGGAGAGGAGGTGAGGCTGGTGGAGGAAGAGAGAGGAAAGGAAAGGAAACAAGGGAAAAGCGCTATAAAAATGAGAGAATGTTATGCAGATGGAAAGCGAG